CAGCGGGAGAACAGTCCATGGTGGGGTTTGTGTGGGGTCCGCTATCTCTGCACCAGCCTACAAGCTGCTCCACCTCTTCTCTGTAGTCCTGGTCATTGTCGTATGCAAACTTCACGATGTCCTGTGTCATCGCAGTAAACAGTAGGGGGCTCAGGATGCAGCCTGAGCCTTTGCTTTAGGTTGATGACATCAGAGGTGTTCTCTCCAACTGAGGAAGTCTCTCGGACTGACTGAAGTCTGTTTGTGAGGAAGTCTAGCAGCTAATTTCAGAGGGGTGTATTGAATCCCAGTTTACCTATCAGATGCTTTGGGAAGATGGTATTGAAAGCTGTACTGAATTCCAGGAACAACATCCACACATGGGTGTTCTTCTCTTCCAGGTGTGCCAGTGAAGAGGGTAGGAGATGACGTCCTCAGTGGGGCAGTTCCATTGGTAGGCAAACTGGAATGGGTCGAATGTTGGAGGCACACTCAAGACAATGTGTTCTTTAACCAGCTTTTCGAATATTTCATCGTGATGAGAGTCAATGCGGAAGGCCGGTATTAATTAAATGATGTGACCTGAGGCTTCTTTGGGACCGGGATAATGGTGGCAGACTTAAAGCATGCTGGCACTATGGATTGGTCCAGCGATGTGATAAAAATGTCTGTGAGGACACCAGTCAGCTGACTTACACACTCCTTGAACACCCGCCCAGGTATGTGATCAGGGCCTGTGGCCTTTCTTGGGTTGACTCTCCTCAAGGTCTTTTACACATCAGCTGTGTCAAGGTTGAGTGCCTTCTCTTCCTTTTGTGGAATGGCTTTCATTGTTGGAATGCTGTTTAGTGCCTCAAACCTTCCAAAGAAGTTGTTTAGTCAATTTAGGACATCAGCATCAGAAGCACCCACTGGTGGAGAGGGTGTATTGTAGTCTATGATCCACCCCATCCCTTGCCACATCCTCCTGGTGTTGCTGCCGTCGTGAAAGAGATCCTGGATCTTCCGGCTTTGGTTCTGCTTCGCTGATCTGATGGCATGGTTCAAGTTGGCTCTCTCTGTCCTCAATGCCTTTTTATCACCAGAATTGAAAGTGGTGATGCTGACATCCTCAATGCATTTGTTGATGTAGGCTGACACAGTCATGGCACACTCATCTATATTTATTTTGCTGTCATAGGTTGCTGCAGCTTTAAACATGTTTCAATCAGAGCATTTGAAACAGTCCTGGAGTGTCTCCATGGCCCCCTCAGTCCACACTCTGAACTCCTTCACTGTTGGTTTTGTCCTGATTTGCTGGGGTCTGTATGCAGGAATTAGCATGACAGACAGGTCATCTGATGACTTGAGTTGGAGGCGGGGGGCTGCTCTGATTGCATCTTTAATGTTAGAGTTGGCTAAATCCAGAGTGTTCTGTCCCTGAGTTGCAATGTCCACATGTTGGTAAAAATGAGAGGTGGTCTGTGGGGGTTTCTTATTAGCTTTGCCGTTAGTCCACCTCTGCAGTCGCTCTTTCGCTGTCTGGCACATCGTTTTCTCTGGCTTTCACCCTAGCATGGCCTGTTCCTCTGGCCTGTTCCTCTGGCCCGCTGCTTTGGTTACATTCATCCAAATTATACCACAGCTTTTTAGATGGTCAAGAGTCACTGTATTTAAGAGTCCAGAAACAAAATTTTGTGACTGAAGCTCCAGCATGAGCTAGCAGTTGTAGATGCAGGATAAATGCCTAATTTGTAGTGGTCTAAGCGGCGTATATTGCGTTGTTGTCAAGAGTTGTATCAAGCCGCTGCCTACAGGCCATCGTGGACATGCCTTCTAATGTGCTCGTGAAACGTCATCAGCCTCAGCCCTAGTACTGTTCCAATTCACAATAACACAAGACAGAGAAAGACTAAGTCCCCGGATGTTGCTCTGCCAATATTTCCATTAAGACAGTTAATTAATTCAGTTATGTAACACACTGAATGTGCATGCTATATTCACATATTTGGTATCACTAGATCAGCACAACCTAAGCACAAGATTTCTGACCAAGCTACTGCAACATAAATTAAAATGCATTGCATAAACACTGAGTTTTGGTATGCCTGCTTATTTTAAGCATGCGTTCATATTTCTCTAAATGTGGTACACATAAATTTTTTCGAATAGGCAAAGCACCTTCCTGACCACAAATATGCAAAGTTTCAAAGCTGCAAGTGTTTGCATTATTAATCCAGATAAGTTTATATGTCTTAACTCTCAAAAGGCCAGGCTATATTTTAGCTCCACTGTAGGTTTCAAGTATACAAAAATATGCATTAATTTTACAAAGTTAGCAGTATAACATTTAAACCCAAGAAAAAAACCATTTCATACAATATATGGGAGACCTTAAAGATATGGAAACACTTTGTTATGTTTTGGTCTGTGGGCTCGAACACTAAAGCCTTTTTTGACAGTAAATTGCCTACTAGTAATTATATTGTATTTATTGTAGCTTAATCTGTTAAAGGTGCAGAGACCTTTGCCAAGGGGAGGCTAAAGCTGGTTATAAAGTATGCACTGCAGTTGTTGTTTTTTTGTTTTTCAATTAAATGCAGAGCTGTCTGAGTGGCCCTCTTTGCCTCAGGAGACTTTAAGTCACTTTTAATTTAACTTCTTAATAACTCTCCTTTTTGGTTCTCTACTATGCTAGTCTGGTGGTAACAACTAATTGAACTAAGGCTATTAAAACTATTTTTCAAAAAAGAAAAAAAACCCAGAAAAATAAAATGTATCTGCCACTTGGTATTGAATGCTCTTTTAGATTTACAAAGTTAATTGTAGCAGTTCTGCATGAGTGAGCAACAAAACCACGTTATAATCGGCACAAATATACAAATGACTACCTTTGAAACTGTATCTGTGGTTTAACAAGGACTTTAAACTATCTGTTTTGTTTCATGTATGTTTAACATGATCTTAAATCATGATTCTTTCCAAAATACTGTTGTTGAATTTAATTCAACTGCCGCAATATCAGAAATTTAAAGAGTATTATCCAGTGACTCAAGGTTGTCATTATCCCTTTGGCTGTTGCATCTTTTTCAACTCACCTTTTCCTTCCCTTAAAATATCTTCTATTAAGCTTAAAACTACTATGTTGCCTGCTTCTCAATATAAATGATTATTAATGGCTGTCAGTAGTACATTGTGCATTACCATTATTCCCCATGATTGTAGTCCTTACAATTACTTGTAGTATTTTTGATAATATATTTTGCTTTTTATGGTAATAATCCTCCAGTGTCAACAGAAAACATGACTTGATATATGGAGCAAAACATCAATATTTTCAAAATAAAAACAAACTATACTTTCCCACAGCCTTTGCTAACAAATAGACGCATATATTCAAACATCCGTGCTTTCTAGATAAAAGGTATAGTGGATGAAATTGTTTGACGTTTGAGTTTTGGGCGAAGATCTTCTCCATTGTCATTACTTACCTACTTTTATCAGTAATCATTCTGCATAAAATTGATAAATATTGACATAAATTGATTAATACATTTTATTGAAATAGATATTTATCTATGATTTCACTGAAGACTCCTAGATGATTTGCAGAGACACATTTTCTCTTTACCCCATGTAACACAAAATCTATTTTTACTTGAATTCTTTACTTATCATCTTTAATGTAAGTATATTGATGTGCATAATTAACCACAGTGTTTCTGTCATCAAGTAATTGTTAATATATGAAAAATTAAAATGTTTGGAATATACCACTTCAGAGTATTACTGTTGCCACCATCTGTATTAGAGGGAAAAATGGTAGGGGTGGCCACAGCTCTAGCACTAGCTCCGCCTCTGACTGACTGACTGACTGACAGACAGACAGACAGACAGACAGACAGACAGACACTTTTGACACAATGGCAGCCCACTGCTCTCCAAGGCGATGGGTTAAATGCAGAGAAGTAATTTCATTGCTCAGTATTTGTGACATTGTAATGACAGTGTAATAACAATAAAAAGCTGAAAACTAAATTTAAGCAATAAAAACATTTTAATCATTACTTTTACATTTTTGTGGACCATATCCCTGTGTTTTGCTATAAAAATAAAAAATATATATTTACAGTAAAAAAAAACAAGCAAAAATCATAGTGAACCAAAATTGCATTAAAATAGTACAGCTGATATCTGCGTTGAACTTAAAGTCCCAATGTGTAATTTTCAGTGACATCTACCAGTCAGTCGAGACCATTTTAGTGTAGTTCACATAGATAATTTCATAAACAGTTTTTTATCAGTCTGTGTAGGATTGTATTTAGGTCTACTGTGTGATGCTAAGGCATAAAGACTAAGACTTTCAGTACTTAGGTGATATATATATATATATATATATATATATATATATATATATATATATA